GAATAGAATAGAATAGAATAGAATAGAATAGAATAGAATAGAATAGAATAGAATAGAATAGAATAGAATTCTTTATTGGCCAAGTGTGAGTGGACACACAATGAATTTGTCTTTAGTGTGTAAGCTCTCAGGGTACATAAAGAAAATATAAAATACATTCATCAATCAAGAATCGTAAGATACCTCACTTAGCGATAGTCATAGGTTACCAATAAGAATCAAATCATACTAGGGAACAATAAAACAATATAAATTGTAAAGATACAAGCAACACGGTTATAGTCATAAGTGGGAAGAGATAGGTAATAGAAGGATGAGAAGAAGAATAGTAATACAGTCTTACTAAACAGTTTAACGGTATTGTGGGAATTAGTTGTTTAGCAGTGATCTTATTCGGGGAAAAAAACCTGTTCTTGTGTCTAGTTGTACAGTGCTCTATAGCGTCGTTTTGAGGGTAGAAGTTGAAACAATTTATGTACCTCCAAAGTCTCTTTCAACTCGATTAGTCTATACATTCCAAGTTCGCATCCCGCGCCCCGCCGTCTGACTGCTGCCGGGCGCCACCGCTTCCCTTCCTCCTCGGTCCAGGACGAGTAAATCCGCCACGTGATCGCCTTAAACTCCTCCTGGAGAACTCCAGGAGCCGGGAACTCAAGACTTACTCCGGCTCCCCGCCCTTCCCCTCAGCGCCTGGAGGATTATGGCTCAGAGCGGGACGCTGACGCTCGAGCAGGCACAGGGAGGGACTTACCTGCTGTGGCTGTTGTCGGGAACGGCGCTCCCCCCGCCTGCCGCCTCTCTCTCTCTCGCTGTCCCCGAAGGCCGCTCCGAAGCGCGCATCCCGGAATCCATCTAAGCGATCCCCTCCAATCGACCGAGGGGGCATCTTCTTCTTTTCCGCCTCAAAAGGAAAAAGTTTCAGCCGGCCAAACACGCGGATTATTATAATCAAGTCAGCTGAGACACGCGTCGAGGGTGGCGACGACCCCACGGGAAGGAAGAGCGGAGTCGCCTCAAACCCGCCAGGTATTTCCCCCCCACTTTTGGGTCCTTCCAGAGCAAATGGGGTGAGAGCCAGTATATTCGTCGCTCTTCGCCAACCATGTGGGAACGTGGAGGGAAAAAGTTCCCTCGTGGACCAGGGGTCCCCAACCTTGGCAACTTGAAGAGATGGGGACTTCAACTCCCAGAATTCCCCAGCCATCTTTTCCAGTTGCCAAGGTTGGAGATGCCGGTCGTTAAGGGACACCGGGGCCGTCAAGGGACACCGGGAGGAAAGGGCGTGGGAATCGTCTGATGGAAGAGGGGCTCGTCGTGCTACCTTGACGGCTGCGTCTTAATCGGGCGATCGCGCACTCTTGACTGAGCCTAAAAAAAAAACCGGACTGGTTTTTTTTTTCTTTTTTCCTTTTCTTTTCGCCTTTTTCTCTCCTTCCAAAGCTGAGGGGGACGTCCGTTCCTATTCATTCGAAAGGGAAAGGCGTAGCAATAGAAACGCTTTCGAAATATAGGAAGCGGGGGACGTGGGGGGGGGGGAGAGAATCTATGAGGCGCTGGATTTAAAACATTGGTGAGTTTTTGTCCGGATTTTCCACGGGCATCTTCCTCTCTCCTCAGATGCCATAAAAGCAGGAGAGGTGGTGGCCTCCAACCATAGACTTCAATTCCCAGAAGCTTTGCTTGGTTGGGGGATTGTGGGAGTGGAAACCCACACGCCTTCAAAGTTACCAAGGTTGGAGACCCCGGTCCTTTAAAAAGTATTTCTGAGACTTGTTGCTTAACCAGAAGTACTCCACCCGCCCTCCTTTGTAAAATGGCTAGCATGCTTGGGAAGCGGAGGCGTGAACGCAAAAAGCGTTCACAACTGGACTGGGTGGTGTGTTTTTTTTTCCCCCTTGGGCCGAGTTCGGCAATAGCTGATTCAAAGCATCCTCTTCGCTTGTTTTCCTCGCCTTCGTCCCTCCGGGAGCGTCTCTTCCTCCCGAAACAAGGCCGGAAAACAACGAGCTTTTTAATCCGCTCTCGTTGGGAAACGGAGGGCGTCGCGCTGCTTGGAAAAGAGGCGAACGCGGAAATGAATTCCTCCTCCTCCTCTATGTAAGCAGCCGCATATTAAAGCTAAATTATACCAATTGCTAGCGATCTTGAACGTACAGTTTCAAATATGTCTTCCTGTTGCGCTTTAAAACGGGGGTCTCCAACCTGGGCCACTTTAAGGCAGGAGGGGGATTCTGGGAGTTGAAGTCCTCCAGCCTTAAAGTGGCCCAGGTTGGAGACCCCTCCTTTAAAAGATAAGTAAATAAAATAAAAGAGTTGGCTGAGGTATTGCGACTTCATTTCTAGGAAGCTTGGTTTCATCCACCCTGCTCGATTGGTACATTATTTAGGTCACCAGCTAATAACTGGAGGTTTTTTTAAAAATCTTTAAAGAGAATATCCTCTTACAGGTACTTTCTGGGATCAAGGCTATATTTGGAAATAGTTGTTTTTTTATCCGCGTAAAAACTATGCTTATTGGAAGGCCATATTCTTGAAACCATGATATATATTCATTCGACTATGAATTAGCTAAACCTATTTTAATGTAGCAGTAATGCAAGCCTAGTGCATAAAGCTAACTTATGATGGGTTGTGTGGACCTGGAAAATTAAGTAAAATGTATAATATTGGGTCACTGAGTCTAATGAACATATTTGATAGATGATGCATTTTCTTTTCTAAATTCACAGCACTTGTCAATGTAAAATATTTCTATGGTGTTTTTAGAGTTGCCAACACTCATTTAAAATAGATGAAAAGAAATATTTCTGGGTTTGGATAAAATGTAACAACTTCCTCATATATTTTGGGTAAAAAAAACCCATATTTTCTTCCTTGGTAGATATAGTGGGAAAATTGGCCCTGAAAGATGTAATATTGGGTTCCCCAAATGGTCACAACTCTCTTCTCCATCTGACTTTTATAATTTGAAAGGTACTTTTAAATATGTTTTCAATTACATTTATCTGTTTTGAAATGTTTTAATGTAGGCATTTGTTCTTTTTATTTTGTAAGGAAATTCTGCAAACCACACCCATAAGCCTATTTCCTCTGACATGGTATTTAGAAACTTCGTTAGTTTTTTCTAAAGGCAGTTTAAGAGCATAATGCATACCTTTCATTTTTGGTCATAGGGCAGTATAAAATAACATCATTAAAATTGCAACCATTTTAGTAATATCTGTGGAATCTATGAGGTGCCTAAAAGAGAGCCACCTTGATGTAGTGGTCAAGGTCCTGGCTTAGAAATCAGGAGAGTGTGAGTTCTAGTTCCATCTTCAGCATAAAAGCCAGTAGGATGACTTTGGGCAAGTCACACACTCTGGGTATTATGTATATTTTCTGTTGTGAGTTACTTATACAGTAATAAAAGCTGGGATAAAAATCTAATAAATACATAAAAGCTGGCATACCAACCCAATATTATAATATTAAAACAGAAGGCTTCTTGTCCTTTGGGCTAAGATCAAGTGTAATGAAAGAATATAAAAGTACTATTCTTGTCTGTTGGTAGTCTTGGGGTAAATGGGGAATGGATTATAAGATTTGTGGTTCTTACTATACTAGCAAGCTGCTTCCTCAGGCTTTGTCGCATGTCCTTCAGCCTACTTTAAAGCAATGAACCTCTGGATAGGAAGTAACTGTGTCCTTTGGATTCTGAGAGGGTAGGTTGTTCCCTTTTATCAATTGGTAGCATTAACTTTAAGCAAATTCCTTGCTGGAAAAAAAAATGGAGCAAAATACTGTCATATGATTTAGCACTTTGTACTGCCTGGTAACCGAAGCTGAAGCCTCTTATATAATAGTCACACTGAACTTGGTAGGACGTTTGAATGAACATTCTTTCTTTACATTGTAAATTTATCTCTGTTGTGGTTGAGGATAACACTGGGCGGGCGAGGCAGTTTTTAGGCATCCTGTTTACTCCTCTGGGCATGTATTGTCCTGCATCAGCTACTTATGCTAGCTAAGTTTTATGGTAGGTAAAATATTGCCAAGTCTTGTGGGAGGAGCACATCAACCAAGCACAACTTTCTTTCCCCATGTTCCAATACTTGTTCAGCTTCTTTTGTCTTTCATACTAAACTTATTCAATCTGGTGTTCACTATATGAGATTACTCAAAACTCAACGTTCTTTTCCCGTGGACCGAGATTTCTGGAAGGTACAGAGTTAGTGAACTTATGATGCTACCACACTGTGTAATATGATGATGCCATAACTTGGACATTGTGCTATTGCAACTTGGAACAACAGCAATACAGCAATAGCAATAGCATTTAGATTTATATAAAGCTTTACAGTGCTTTACATCCATCTCTAAGTGTTTTACAAAGACAATGTTTTGCCCCCAACAATTTGGGTCCCCATTTTACCCACCTCGGAAGGCTGAGTCAGTCAACCTTGATATAAATGATTTATTGTAATACTATTTTCTGTTGAGCAGGTATAGCTGAAAGAATGTCAGTGTCTATTAAATTGATATTGAATACAAAGATTGATATTTGGCTACAAGAAGGATTTAAAATGAAGACATTTAAAAGTGAATTTGTTAGGAACATATTTAGCATACTTCCTTTTCCTAAATCTCTTATATTTAATGTTTGTGTTAAGTGCCTTTTCTGCAATGGTGCTTACCCCGTGGGATAACTACCCTGTCCCTGAACTTTTGATGGCCCTGGCCCTGTTGGAAACCATAAAAACCTGGTTCTTTTCACCTGGTTCTTTAAATCCAGGAAGTTAATGGAGTTTGGGTTGAAAAATTGATTACTTTTTACATTGTATCTTTTATTGTTCTTTTTACTGTTTTATATGTATGTTTTGGTCTTATAACTTGTTAGCTTCCCAGAGTTACTTGATTAATATGATCAGTCACATTAATTTTCAGAATAGAAAAGTGCTAGATAGAAGTAAATCTCAGGATAAATTGAGCACAAATATAGTCTGATTCTTGTAATGATATGTGGCATAAACAGGTGAGTTAAGATAGTACAACTTCTGTTCCATTACATTTCTTATAATTAGGTCAATCCTATTGGGACTATTACTGCATGTACTTACTGGGCCTAAACAACAGTATTTTATTATCCATAGCTACAAAACATTTAAAATACTTTGTTGCTAGTCAGCTGGTTTATTTCTTAATGGATTACTGATGTAATACTGTAGAATTTTCCAAAGAACCATTTTTTATAACAAAATAGGACAAATAGTACATGAGATTTGAGTCCCAAAATTTATAAGCTTGGTGCAATGGAACAGAAAGGTAACTTTAGGCAATATTAGTTCTAGACAAGTAGTCCTCCAACTTATGACCTTAATTGAACCCAAAATTTCTGTTGCTAAGCAAAACAGTAAATGAGTTTTGCTGTTTTACTACCTTTCTTGCCACAGAGCTTAAATAAATTGCTGCAGTTGTTACCTTAGTAACATGGTTGCTGAGTGAATCTGGCTTCCCCATTGACTTTGCTTGTCAGAAGGTGACAAAAGGTAATCATATAAGGCTGGGACACTGCAACTGTCATAATACACGCCAGTTGCCAAGCATCTGAATTTGATCATGTGACCATGGAGATGCTGCTAGAGCAGTATGAAAAATGGACATAAGTCACTCTTTTTAGTGTTGTTATAACTTCAAATGATCAGTAGACAAATGGTTGTAAGTCGAGGACCACCTGTAATTTGGTCTCATAGGATCCTAGGCCATAATGTGATTGGTTTATTTAAACAATGTGTGTGTGACACTGACTTCTTCAATAAAATTCTGTATAGCAAAATTCTGTCTTATTGGAAGGCTAGCTGTTCCTGTCCATATAAATTGTTTCATATCCTCCTGACAGATTTATTTTTTTACAGATTTATCTCATCTTTATTATTAGTAATTCAAGACAGTGAACATATAAAATACTCCTTCATATTTTTCTCACAGCAATGATTCTATGAGTTAGGTTTGGCTGAGAGAGTGTGACTGGCCCAATGTCATCCAGC